CGTTCCCTAAGAAACGTACTTTGCCTAGCAAGTGCTCAAGTGGGTGCACCACCCCAAGTGAGGTTTAAACTGCTCATGAAAAGCAACTGGCTTTGCGCACGCCTAGTTTCATTATCAGGTTAGAGGTGACGTATCCGACGTCAGGCACTTGACGACATCTCTGATTAATTTCGTAAATTCATTTATATCAAATGGCAGGCCTTATGATAGTTATCATTGGCCCTTTAGTTGACTTCAGGCTTCACAGAGGGAGAGGAACATCAAAGCCAAAAAAGTTGAGAGGGGGGGGAACAGAAGAATGTTTTAAAGATGCATTAGATATAGACACAAAGGTAGATGAAAGGTGAGGTGTGTACTGTGGAAGTGGTCGAATGTGACATACAGTGGGGTCATGGTAGTTTGAAGTCAGAAGTCAACTGCCGGTTTATAGACTTTTTTGCCGTATGAGTATACGTTGGCCAGGGTGCACCACGTGGAGGTAAGTCTATCGCACATCCCATTTTGTAAATTCATAATAAATTCTCCTCTTAACGTCAGGTCTTTCTCTATCTCAGACAGAAAGCCAGACTTATTGTATAAAATCAGCCGTCAGACGCAACGAATTTCTTTTAGTGACGTTTATTGCGTTAAAAATTCTTTTTTTTCAAATGTTACAAACATCAGTGAAAGCTTATGTTGTTGAAACATTCTGGAAGAGAAGATTAACGGTTCAAGCCTATAGTGAACTAACTTCTCCTAGCATCTCCAATTACTGCATTGTCGTTGAATAATAACATATCTTTCAGGTTTTCCTAAAAATGGTCAAATTTTACAAGTTACTTATGTTTTAGGTTTGGAACAATGTGTACCGGAAAAACTAGCGAGTAAGCCATGTTTTTAAGTTACTTTCTACTAAAGCTACTTTTCGGTTCAAATTTCCTCAATTTTGTTAAAAGGTTTTGCAGCAATGCAGAAGGTTCGATTAGAGCGTCCAGCCAGAGAACTAATGCTTCTTTGCATCCTCTTTGGAAAATTAGAACTTGCTGCCTTATTTTGGGGCTATGAGAAGGTATGATGGCACTGACAATCAATTATATCTTTTAACTTATTCAGGAACCAATAGGCGGTGCCATGTTTTGTTCCTTACTGCTGGGCAAACTTGCGGCAGTTTGTACGGATATATCTCAAAAGTTGGAGTTTGAACGCTACGCTAGGTACATTTTTAATACGCTGGCTCAATGCGCATTTTCTTGGTAGGATCTTTGAGAGTAAGGCAGAGGAAGTTTTGGAGGCGTGCTACGCGGAAGATAATCAGCGGGCAAAGATGCTGCTTTATCGCAAATTGCAAGAATACGGTCATAGCGCAGTGATTCGGTTGGCAGCTCGAGGTGGTTGTATTCACTTCATGTCGCACCCCTGTTGTCAAGATTTCCTCTCCGAAGTGTGGATGGGAAAACTCTCTTCAAAGACTACCAATTTACAGGTAGATCTAGTACTAAAACTACCGCAGAGGTTTTTTATAGAATGGTGTCCCTTTAGAGCTATTGAACAATACGTGTATTTGATTGGTACAGGAATGGAATTAGGATTGTGGAGTTTCGTTTACAACGGATTATTAACTGATAACTGTTGTTAAATTGATATCAAACATTGAAATCAATGGCCTGATGAATAAAGTTGTTAAAAGAAGGCAGTGGAAACTCTCTGGCATCTAGAGTTGTCACCTCTAATTTTGTTGGCGGTAACAGTTATAATCATATTAAATTGGCTGAGTCATGATTTGGAAAACTTGCATCCGCCGAAACGACCACTTTGGACGTGCGTTATCGGAAACAATTAGGACTTTATGTGATGCTTTTGACCTGGATTCTGGATGGCAGTTACCTGGGTCTGACCTGTCAACGGGCTCTCACAAAGCTTTTATTGGCGCACAAAGATACCAGGAGAATGAGTGGGATAAAAGAAGTCACTCTCAACTTCTCGTTCCTGGTAGAACGTAAGAGACCGAATCAGAGATGAAATTCTCAGAATTCTTTCACTTTTTACATCTTCCAGATCACTGAAGTCGTAAACATAATAAATTAGCTGCCTTCCTATTATACCCTTTTATTTTAAACCAAAAGTTGCCTGGCGAACAAGACAAATCCATTTTATTTATTGCTTTTAGCTCATATTTGGATCTATCTTCGGTCTTGTTTTCCCATTAATTTTACCTCAAGTGTTGTCATATGCTCGTGACGATGCACAAAGAAATCGATTGGGTATTGATGATGTAAATACTATTTGCTTAGTTTTCCTACGTCATTATCAGCACCACTAACTTCAAATTCGCTTTCAATATTGCAGTCCGATTCCAGTGACGTCGATGACGACGAAGCCGGAAAAGAAAATGCCGCATTTTCTGGTAGCCTAAATTATACAACGGAGAGGAGAAGAAAACACAAACCTTCTCCAAGTCTTCTGAAATCGCCAGGACACTGGTAGGTTACCAAAAAATAGAAGATACCATAATCTCCATTAGGTTTCATCGGCAGATAAAGGATATCACGCAATTTTATCAAGCGCCTGTTACCAGATTTCTCTATAACACGGTAAAGTCAGTTGCTCACGCCCACTTTCCACGCTTTCAAAAGCTAAACCTTTATTCAAAATCTTTCAGATTTTCTATGTGGCTTTCCTACTTGTTTTCAGTAGCATGGTTCTCCGGAATCTGAAAATATCCTTTACTATACCCGAGATACTAACATCTTTAATGGTAGTAGCCCTATTTCTTGAAGAACTAAAACAGGTAACCCTGACATTGCCGTCAATAGCTTTTAAACTAAAGGCTTTTGGTCCAGGAGCAAGTCTGAAAGAGTACTTGAGTGATGGATGGAACAAAGTGGATTGCGCAGCAATAGGTCTTTATATTGGAGGCTTCATTCTCCGCACGCTTTCCTACGTCCAAGTTCGCAATGTTGACCTTGTGGAAGCTAGAAGAAAGCTCATTGCAGAAAATGCAACTTGCACATATGTTGCATCGGCTACTCTAGTAAGTTATATATTACTCAAATGTTTAATAGTAGCAACTGCTAATGTTGACCGATTTTCTAAATAGAGGAATGCTAGCTACTCCGTATCAATGACTTCCACACAAGCAACACACTTGGGTATACCAATACAAGTGTTCGCAATACCAGAATGGACATTGAGATGCGTTGAGGAGCTTGATATCGACCATCCGTATTTTCTTTTGCATGAGGAAAGGTTTACTCTTGCCAGGGTTATGTTCGCCCTCAGCCTATTTGCCTTCTTCGTTCGCCTCATGTACATTTTTGGCTTCAGCATTGTACTTGGCCCAAAGCTCATCATGATAAATCGTATGGTAAATACAATTTTTTTTTATAATACAATGTTGAAGTCTTGGCGCCTCAATAAGTAACAGATTGGTGGAGGAGAACAGGCAGATCTTTGGTGGTTGGCATTTCCAGTGCTGTCAATATTTTTGCTTCGGCCAAAGCAATGAGTTTTAATGTTCGAACTTTTCCAGTGATAATTCTTGGTCAAACCAATTTCTAAATGATGTACTCATACTGCGAGTGTAGCTGAATGTCTTTAGCCCTCAGGCTCATAGGCCGTAGCATTCCAGTAGTTATCATCTCTGGAACCACGCTCTCAAATTCTTGTGCGTCACGAGTATCCAATAAGGTTAATCTGGTAGAATATCCAACTCATGCAAATTTTATATGGTAAATAAAGCGTTGGTTCTATCGCCAACATGGAGACAATCCCCACCTGCTTGAGTTTCACTTAAGTTTATGTAAGTTCATTTAATCCCAGCCTACCTCAAAATGTATCAGTCATGGAGCACCAAAACTTTACTTAGCGAGTTTGACTGAGCTTCTGAATATGTCATGTGCTCTCATCATAATCCTTTATTTGAAAGACATACTTTAGCAAGAACTAAGCCTCTTCACATGACCCTACTTTACGTATTGTAATGTAGCGAACCCATAATAACGTTCTGCGTGAGCAATATGAGAGGAAAAGTTAAGAGCTATATATAAACACCTCATAGAGGCTTATTTATGCAAAACCTCTACTATCTTAACTTTCCAATTTTGAATTTGTTCAGGTGGTCAATGATTTGCTGCCTTTTCTTCTGCTTCTTGTTGTCATTCAAGCCGGTTACGGTGTGTCGTCTTTTGTTGTTTCATATCCAAATGGTTATTATACTAATTACCTTCAAAACACTTTGCGTAAGTTTACCGCGTAGCTTTTATAAGAACCAATTTCTGGGTACTTTCGATTTACACTTTGTTTTATTCCGTTTCTCTCTCTTTTTTAGCTCGAAATACGACATTGAAGTACATGAAAGCTGGGAAGATTGTTTATGAATTCTTCATGACGGCCTACTTTCAAATGCTGGGAAATTTTGGTTTGGACATTCTTGCTGGAGAAGGTAATAGGGTTCAGTGGAAGAACAAGAGGACAAGTCAAGATCCTTATAAATGAGACAATTGTTGTTAATTCATCAATTTTAACTAGTATTCAAGCTTGTCAGTGAGCCACCACTGGGTTGTATTTGTATTGATTTATCTAGAGATATACTTAGTCCCATGGATTTTTCCATTCCTGGGGTACTTTCTGTGTCGTTGACCAATCAGATTTTACTGCGTAATCCAATAGAGGAGCTGGAAATAAAGTGAAAACACACACTTTAATTGAATAATACAACAAAGATCTTCACTGAAATTTAAAGTGAGCACTTATATTCGTGATTGGATTTTTTTGTTATTTCTTCCGAGTTTAAGTTTGGAAATTTGTCAAAGTGGGTGCAAATGCAAATTGTGTTAAAAAGAGAAGAAAAGTGGGTGTCTCCATGAATGAATTGGGTGCATTAACAAACTTAATATTCACTATTTGAACAAAAACAAGGTTAGAGTAGAATTGGATAAAAATTCAAAATAAGCATAATTAAAATTTATTTATTTCAAATGGAAGGTATATTAATAGTCATCATTAGCGCTTTAGCTGACTTCGGACTTCACCGAGGGGGGAGGGGGGGGGGGGGGAAGAAGAGTGATTCACAGACATAAAGTGAAAGATAGTCACATTGGCAGAGAAAAGGTAAGATGAGTACTGTTGAAGTGGTCGAATTTAACATACAATGGGGTCATGGTAGTTTGAAGTCAGAAGTCAAGTGCCGATTAATAGACTTTTTGCCGTATGAGTATACGTTGCCCAGGATGTACCACTTGGAGGTAAGTCTATCGTGCACCTAGCATAATTATCATAGAATTTACTGCCCCTTAAATACTTGCTGAAAGCTTTATGAACTGTCTTGGTTTAAAGACTAGTTGATAGTGGGTGTGACTCCGATGTCAGCTTAAGTTACACTCAAAAAAACTATTTTGATCATCAATAAACCCGAAATCATTTTTACGCGTATTCTTGTTAGGAAAGACTTTTAATTTTATACATGCTGTTTACGGACCAAAATATTCACTATAAGGGCGAATTTCTTGCTTCGTGATAAGACTATTTGAGCATTGATATTGGTCTTTAATCACTTTTAATCATTCACTTCCTTATAGACAACGGTTGCCGGGATAACAACCTGTGTCCACAGTTTTCGTCTAGGAGGTTGTCTATCATCACGTTGAGCTTCTTTATTTTGCTCACCCAACTCTTAATGCTGAATCTTCTCGTTGCCACTTTCACGTTAGTTCCAGTGTTAAACCCCTTTACCCTATTGATACCTAATATGCCATATTCGCTATTAGTATCTTTAATGCAGTTTCTATGATAGCACTCAGGTACACTTAACCCTCGTCTAAGGTGCCATTAAAGCCGACCTTCTTTAAGCTAATCTGAATAATAAATACAAGGAAATTCCAAATTCCTTGGACCTATTGGACGAAGCCAATCTGAGTCAGTTGAATTGGGATTTGTGCTAAATCTTGGAAACTACCGATTTTGAGCTTGGTATATATATCACCGAAATAGGTGATACCCCTCTACTTTTTTCAACTATTTGTCCGATTAAATGACAATATCATCATTTAGTTTTTTTTAAAAAGAATTTTCAGCAATCATCACTTTATCCATTTCACAAAGACTGAAGCTTTAGTCCGGTAATGCGCGGTTTATTGTGATTTTTATTCAGGCAACTTAAGTTGTACTGCGCATGCATGAACATGACAAACATATTAGCGTATTTGTCTTTCTTATATTTCAGATCAACTTATTTTGAAATTGAAGGGTCCTCAACATACTTTTGGAGTTATCAACGCTACGAAATGATTCAAGAATGTGTAGATCGGCCTTCAGTTGCTCCACCGTTTACTTTACTTTGGTATGGTGGAGAGGTGATTCATGCAGCTTTTCAACGTCTTCTGGGACTCTGTCCCGAACTAGATGATTTTGAACCGGAGCTTGCTGATGATCCCTTCTGTAAGAGGACAATGATATAAGAATTTGCTTTATTTAACCTATTTATCCATTTAATTTTGCTGTTTATTTTTAGGCCGAAACTTTAGGGGAAACCCTGCGCTCAAGTCCAAACTGATGAAATGGGAGTTTATGAAGGCACAGAATGTGTTACGATCCCAAATGGACTCAGATTTACCAGTGTCTAGACGCAATGAGGCGGCTCGATCCACAATTATCACAATGCGAGGTCTTAAGGGACCCGTTGGAGGTTAGATAGTATTAACTTGTAGTCATTTTATTGGTAACCTTAGAGAATTCGTCAAAATTTCCAGCTTCCGGGTTGACATATCGGTACGGTTAGCAAAACTCTATGTTCATAATAACTAACCAATATTCGAAAATTAGGCAGATCTGTTATTAATCTAAAAGCACATCTTATCCGACACCCTATAAATGGAATCAACCATGCAACTGATTCCATTTCTTTGACTTCTGAAAGAAAACCTCCTGAAGATCCATTCAAATTCAAGGGGTCTTTGTGAATTGCTAAATGCAGTGAACAGAGGAGCCACCAAAAATAAATTATTTATTTATTTAGTTGACTTCGGGCTCCATAGAGGGGAGGAACATCAAAGTGAGACACATTCGAGAGGGAGAACAGAAAATTGATTCACAGATGTAAGAGACAGACAGACAAAAAGGCAGAAAAAAGGTAAGATGAGTACTACGATAGGGGTCGAGCATGACTTGCAGTAGAAGTCAACTGCCGGTTTATAGACATTTTTGCCGTATGAGTATACGTCGCCCAGGGTGCATCACGTGGAGGTAAGTCTATCGCTGTTTGTGCCACTATGTCAAGCCGATAAGGCCCGGTTAGAGGAATTGCAGCCGAAGTTGCAAGAATAATCTAATAAATGTGATAAAAATGAATTATTGAATACGGTTTCAGGAAGCAAAAAATACCATCAGAACTGAAAAAATCAAATAATAGGGTAAAAAATATTAATTTAAGAAGACCATCATTAAGTTTTGCTGACCCCTTTTTCCAGTATATCAGAATGTGAAAGTTATTTCATTGATCATCGCTTATCAAATCATTCAAGCATAAAATATTTTTGTAGAAAACCCTTTGATTCAGCCACCTTTCCTATAATAATTGCGAGAAGCATTGTCGGATAAACCGCCAAGTGAAGGATTTTTGTTTTTATTGCAGGTGCAGGAGGAGGAGGTGGTGTGGGAGAAAAACGAGGCAGCGTGCTGCTTGGGGTTGAAGATCTTCCAAATTCCCTCTTTGGACCCGACTCCGACCTCATTGAAGGCAAATTTACAAATCTTGGTACCCAGGTTGAGAAGGTATCCAATTTTGAAGATCGTCTTAAAAGAATTGTTACCATGATGAAGCGTATAACAGTGGAATTGAAGAAGGTTCATAAGAGTGTAAATCAGGTAATATATATATATATATATAGCTTGTGTTATGGGATATTTATATCTCTGCAAATTTCCATAGAACAAAAGGAAAAATGTAGAAAACTGATCGCGCTATTAGAAGAGATTTCAATAGGGCGGGAATGAAGCCTATTTCGCAACCAATAGAACAAAATGTTTCCCATTTTTCATGAAAAAACTAAGACTTCGCTAATATTGAATTAAACCAAGTTCACTAATTTTCAGTAGATTTTTAAATTACTTGTCTTTTGGGAATTTATTGAGAAAGCGTACTGTGAAATTTGGATGTCGTGGTCATGAAACCACCGATTCCTGATTGAACTTTCCTTGATCAATGACACTTGTAAGGGGTTTACTGATATTAGTTTGCATTTGTCCGCATTTTTGTGATCTTGAGTCCCAAAATCTGAGTCATATTTATCAATTTCAAGAGCTGGGGCAGAATTAGCAATTATCGTAGTTATTTGGTGGAATAAGCGTCCGTTTCTGACTTGGACAATTTGTATTAACTGGTGACGAAGTCAGCTTCATTATAGTAATAAACTTAAATAAAATGAATCAGTAAAGCAATAAAAAACCAAAAATAAAGGGAGAGGGAAAACAGGTTAAGTAACTATAAAGGAGATTTGGTTGTTGATTTTCGGGACATCACTTCTCATTAAAGCCCAAAGTAGATATGCTGCTTTTCCAGACTACCTTCGGAAGATACTCTCGTTAAATCTGATGTCAACAATATGAATTGCATTCTGGTGTGCGGCCTTTCAAAAATCCATGTCATTTATAAAACTTGAAGTCATTGTGCCCCATAATCATGAGTAGCTTTTTCCTTTCCTGAAACCTTTGCATCGAGTGAATTTCGCCATGTGCTCCTCAACTGGGGTGGGGGAGATTGTAACGGTCATCTAATATAAACCAAAAGTGAATGAGTTATGTTTTTGTTCTTCTAAATTTCTAGACAGCAACGTTTCTTGCTAGTGAGGAGGGTGGACGTCTGGTAGGAGCTCCAAAAAGTGCCATCACACCAAGACCAGGATCTACTCCAAGAACTGGATCTACACCTCGGTCAATATCGACATCGAAAAATGAACCAACAGGAAGCCATATCATAAGCAATGCCATTACGAAAGCCGTCATGAATCTCTCTAGTCACTGTCTTGATATAGAAGAACAAATCGAGGAAAAGTGAGCGGTCTTCAAGTTGTGAACTTCCCTTATTACTTCTTAACATTTTGAGTACATTTGTTTGTATTTACTGACTTACGTATTAGTAATTAAGGTTCCGGATAACACCAGACCTTATAATCTCCTAAATACTGAATGGTAGGCAACCACTGGATTGATTATTTATTTCAATGAAGAAAACTTTGCTTTGGAGTTGCTACGGGAATTTTACCAGTTCTTATTCCCGAAAACTACTTTGAAATTATAACCCCCCCCCCCCAAAGAGAATCGAAAAGTAATCTTACCCAAAGTCATGACGTATAAAGCTCAATCAAGACGGTGATTAAATTTTTGGTTTGTCAGAGCTGTCTCGACAGCAATGTCCATTATGTCAGTCACGTTGTACATTCCACCGAAGAGGATTTTAAGCTAAAAGTCTGAGGTGTGAAGTTGTCAACACAAGGCGATAAGTCGCATGTAAGAAAGTAATACTTTCAAGCTACTTTAAGTTTTACGAAAGGCAGTGATATTTGAAGCGTCACACGTCATAATGCCACCCTTATTGCTGACAGAAGATTCAAGTAATCGTTTGAAGGGGGGTGGGGGGGGTATGTGTCTTGAGCTAAAAATGCAAGCAATTATTTTACGTCCCAGACATCGAGTCTTTCAACCTCATGAAAAGGACTTAAAAGCTTCCTGATTTGTACACCAATTCTCTCTAAAAGGTTGTCAAATTTTATGAGTTACAACTTGGTTTTAGATCTCAGCGTCTAAAACTCCTTTGCGTTTTTTCTTCCCTAGCTTGTCGGAATCAATTAATTCCTTTTCTCTAATATGACCAAATCGTCAAAAGTATAGTTTTACATATTGCAGTTACTGAATGTTGAGAAAATTAAAGTACAAATGCATCGTTATTGAAAAGGCCTGGTATTTCTAGAACTCTAGTTATAATTCGCATCTCTCCACTCTTGATCTAGAAGTTTGTTTGGCGAGGGGAGGGGTTAGTTTCAAGGCACATTGAGGCCACTACGATTGCAGCGTTTAATTGAAGTTCACCTTGACTGATAATTTAATCTTCCGTGTTTTTGGAAATTAGTTGTCAAAGGTTATCAATACATAAATTTGAGCAACCGAGTTTTTATATTTCAAATTACCAAGAATGAGGATGAAGTCCCAGTAAAAGACGACTTTTCCACTAGCGATTTCCATAAAATCAAAATCTTGCCTTAACTAACTTCATCTCTAAAGTTTGAGTTGTTCTAAATAGTTTGCCTTGATATCCTAATATATTCGAGAAATCGACAATATAGTTTGGGTTTGCGAAATCAAGGGATTAAAATCACTTTAGTAATAACATTCGCTTGTAAAAAAACACTTTTTCACGCTATAGATTGCGCATTGAAAGTCTCTGCATAAAGGCAATACTCACAAATCCAGACGCATCAGACATACCTCAAGATAGTGTCATGAAACCACCGACTTCTCAACCTGGTCCACCCTCTCGAAGGCCCGAAGCCAAGCCACCTAGTGCAAGTATCTATGAGCGTCTCATTTACAGCCATCGACTCTGGCGTCTTCTGCCATTCAATTTTGAACGTCGACCTGGTATGCGCGTCAATATTCCAAATGAGATGATTGACTGGAAGGTATCCTATCCCGGATATAAGCCCTTCATAGCAAACACCGAAAAGATTGCCTATCCATTTCCAGAGGTAGAAGATGGTCCTCAAATGTGAGTTTATTTTGTTTTATGTTAACTAAAAGAAGGTGGAGGAAAAAGCACTGTACAATTGAACTTCATTCGTTTGATATTCTAGCGATCCGACCAAATTACAGTACAATGCTTATGATGAACTTCAAGGTGTATCACGCAGCTGCTTAAGAGGGCGAGTTCACATTTCAAGAGACCCTACTGGACCCCTTGGATATCCGTTAAATCCTAGGGGCCGCTCAGGCCTATTCGGGAAAGGTATGCTCCCACACTGGGGACCCAATCATGCCATTGTTCTAGCTTTCACTCGTGCTGGAACTTCACCAAATGATTTTCAGATTGCTGTTCTGGACAGAAATCAATCCTCTTGCCTTCCATGGGTATGATCGAAGTATTTGCCTAATCTATTTACTACTGTTTCTCAATATAAAAAAATTAATTTTCGCTTTTTTGCAGTTCTTTGTTGACCACCGCGAATCTTGTGATCATCGAAGTTGTTCGGCCAAAGTTATGCGCGATTTCGTACAACGTCGAGTAGTCAGCGTTTTTGGTGCTATCAACTCTGAAAATGAAACCATAAAAAATGCTCTGTTAGAATCAATAAATAAGATGGAAATATCTTTGGTAATCTTTGTTTTGAAATAACTCGTTAATATTTTAGAGTGTGTACTGACTGCCACTGCTTTACTTTTAGATCAGTGACGACTTTCTGGATGATCATTTGAATGCAGATCATGCTTGGATAGAAGCCGTGTGTGTCAACTTTCATAGTAGTGGCGAGAGTGCTTTTCATGATGCGGCTGTAAAGGTATGATAATTCTGTTTTAACTTTTACTTTTCTTTATATATGGCTACTCAAATCAGATCTTGTGAACTAAATTGAAGACACTTAATTAATTACTATATCGATAGTTTGTAATGGTGCATATTGTTGTTTCGGTCAGAGTAGAAAAAAATGTTGCCGGTGAAAATGATGTATTAAAAGTGCAATGTACAACGAGTCTTGTCAAATCGTTTTTGTCAACGTGTTTTATTTATTTATATCAAATTGCAGGCGTTTTGATAGTTATCATTAGCCCTGGAGCTGACTTCGGGGCAGAGAGGAGAAGGTACATCTCAAAAGTCAAAAGGGGAAGAGAAGAGTGATTAACAGATGTAAAAGAGACAGATATATAGTCAAAAAGGCATAAAAAAAGGTAAGATGAGTACTGTGGAAGGGGTCGAATGTGACAAATAGTCGGGCCATAGTAGTTTGTAGTCAGAAGTCAACTGCCGATCAATAGACTTTTTGCCGTATGAGTATACGTTGCCCAGGGTGCACCACGTGGGGGTAAGTCTATTGCGCACCCCTAATGCATTCGACGTAGGAATGCATATAATGAATCAATTTTTGCATTGAGTTGTAAAAAGACGTTTTTTAATGAAATTTTACTATATATAATTAAATCTATAAGAGGTAATATACGTTATTTTAATTCAACATGTAGCATTGATGTAGATGTAAAGCAATGGAAGTAGTCTTTTGTATTGAGTGCTACGTTTTGAAAGTAAGATTATGCATATCACACCACTAACTCGACAGACGTGTGGGCATGTGGGCCAAACACTTTAATGCAATGGAACATATTAAAAAATTCATTTTCCATTTTTTCAGCTATTTATGGAGAATCCGCCAATAGAATCAGTGCGTTGGTTTGATTTCAAAGGGTCGATCAATCTTCGATCAAGCCATGAATCACTTCTTATTGCAGTCCTACAACATCATGGAAAGGTGTAATGCCGACAAACTAAAATAATTCCAAAAAAATGTACGCAGGAATTCGCGTTGACACTTTCTTAAGCGCCCTTTGGCATTTAAATCACTGTCACCTGTTCGTGTGTTTGTTGCTCGAGTCCGATGCTGTAAGTGTCGCGCTTTATCCACGTAGAAATCAATCTTAGACATTTGAATCCTAAATTTCAAGCTCAATAAATGCACTAAAATATCCCCTTTCCTAACTTTTCGGCTATCTCTATCCCAGGATGTGAGGGGAATGGAGCTAACTGCTATAGCCTTTGGTTTTTTAACTCTATTCCTACACTTCTTTATCCCACCATGCATAATATTTATTTACCAACTCTTGGGATCTATCTTCACACTTAGTCGCCTATTTTCCAAGTATTCACTACCGAATTCTTCTGGTTCCTTTACAAATTGTTTTGTGACTGACACGTAAAATAGGTAGGAATCGGGCGTCTTAACAGTATTTATTGCCAGTCATGTTATAAGGGAACAATATTCCTCTATCTGTGAGCCAAGACTGTGGCTATAGGTGTTGGATATAAGGAAAATCAGTAAAAATTATAGGGATAAGTCACAGGCATCTTGAGGTGAAGGGATTTAAAAACCAGGGTTTAGTGGTTACGTGAAATGAAACGACAGTCATTATAGTAGCTGTGTGTTTGTGATTCAGGAAACTTTAGTAACCGAACAATAACATGTAAAGAATATAACTTCACTATACATTGCTATTATTTGGTTATATGCAAACTCTGATTTATACCGAAAAATCCCCTTGTATGATTATATTAAAAAAATTCGAAATCTGTTATTACAGACTAAATTTCAAATAAAAGTAAAGATATTTTTATATAACTTCAGAATCAACCAGAGTAGTGCCATATCGCGGCGGATTTCTTTGAAAAATTTATAAAATAATTACTTATTCTGTACTTGTGGTCTCGTCATTAATATTACTCTGTTAGCGATCCGTGTTTACAATCGCCTACTGCTTCATGAGGGCTCCCTGTATCAAACTACTCACCGCAGAACCTGTGATGATCCACCTTCAAACCATTCTATACGGTTTGGTTAGAAACCCCATTTCACCATAGGGCCAAAAGTCAAAGAAGCACTTGAATACTTTTGTTTTATTAAGGCAAAGATATGGCTGTGCTTGGTGTCTGTTTCACATAGTTTTAAGAGATGAATTAATGGAACATCTCCTGGGTATGTCTTGTGCATCTTAACCGTTTGTGAAACCACCAAAGTGGATAACAATTTAATTTCATTTTTAAATATTTGTCGCCGAAAATTTAATAAATACATTCTCCACACCGCATTAGCTAATTACAATCAAGATTTAGCACAGGTTGGTATACTTTAGGAAAACTCAATCTCATAACTGTATCGTAATAGTATTCTTTCCAGCCTCCCTTCCGACTGTTAATGTTAGTACAAAAAAATAAGTTCCACAGTTAACAATGGACACCATCCTAGTTAGTATGTTGCACTATGACGATCCTGAGTGCGATATATAGACATCTATATTCAACTACAGGGTGTGTGATAGACTTACCTCCACGTGGTGCACCCTGGGCAATGTATACTCATACGGCAAATAAGTCTATTAACTGGCAGTTGACCTCTGACTTCAAAGTGCCATGGCCCCACTGTATGTCATATTCGACCCCTTCCACATTACTCATCTAGCCTTTTCTCTGCCTTTGTGCCTATCTGTCTCTTTTACATATGTGAATCGCTCTTCTTTTCCCCGGTCGATTTTTTCTCTCTTTAATGTTTATCTCTTCTGCGAAGTCTGAAGTCAACTAAAGGGCTAATGATAACTATCAAAATGCCTGCCGTTTGAAATAAATAAATAAATAATATTGAGTAATTGGTGTTTGAAATAACTATTCAACTACTGGACTGATCTCCTCATCTTGCGTTCCTATTTGCGCACCACTTGTAACTTCCCCTAAAATGTGAAGGCGCATTCGACCTAATGTGTTGTGTCCAGTACATTAGACTGAGAATACAAAACCTTTTGCTGAACTTGGAAAATCCAAGGAAGGCAGACTGTTCCTTAGGGTTGTCATATTAAAATTAAGGGGTTGTGTAGATTTAGGGGATGTCTCTGCCTTGGTATCCAGAAGTATAAATGGTCGTAAAAAGTCGGGTGGTTTTTGACATCAATCAGCTTGCTCTTCGAATGACAACTAGTTACGATTGCTATTTCCCAACACTTTTAACTGTCGTCTCAAAAAATGTGTTCCTCTTGTGGGAAATGATAAAAAAACAGGCAGTTTATATCTGAACACAGAAATAGCAGAAGTCGAGGCTAATTGTTCGGAGTTGCATTTTGTCTTAAAGTAATCGATTTTATCGATCCTTCATTAAGTTCACATTAATTAAACAGCTTGCCTGAATGATAGGGTCGAAATCATACCCCTATTGCTTCCATAAAGCTGAATACAAGGAGGGCTGAATGCAGATTAATGTTCACTGTGAAACACTATTTAAACTTCGAGACAATGTGAGAGAGGTAGAGAGAGAGAGAGAGAGGCGCGCGAACTTACCAACAGACGAAGGTGCAAATACAATGAAAGGCAAGTTGAGTCAGTAGATCGAATGGTCTCATTAGTTAAGTATGAAATGAATCCGAATGCGTTTTTCAAGTAAAACGGACAGTTAGGGTAGAGGGACAAACCGATAAACCCACGCAGTGATGATAATTGAGACTCCGAGACAGAGGCAAAGGGATAGCTCTGCAACTCCTTCGACAAAGAATAACAATGTGTTTTCTAGAAGAATATGACTGAAAGACCTAAGAAAACGCCAAGTAAACTTTACTTGTACAATTTATGGTTTGTTACTCCTGCACGCTTGACCTGACGGTGGGAAAGCATTTCTAAGCTACTGGTAAATAATTTATCATTAGCTAATAATTAAATAAGATATACCCTTTAAAACCGTGCCACCGAAGTGTTTGAATGTTTGAACTACATTAAGGGGTGCAAGTTGAGAAATTTTAACAAATGCAAGATTTGATGATTAGTTTACACGAAATGGCTTGTCAAAATACCTTGTCTTGAAGGCGATGTGTAGGCTCATCGATCAGAACTAGTAACTACGTGAGGAATTCAGAAGGTTCTACACAGACACTGATCTTCAGTGAATTTTAGTAAACTAAGAAGGAGAATTGACCAGGAATTCAAACCAGATTGATTTTCAATTGCATCATATTTTCGAATTCAGTTTTAAGTATTTTCCCTAAGCTTAGGCAATCGATTGAGGTGCCCATCGGTTATAGCAAGGAGACCCACAGATTGAAATGCAAAATTCTGTTTTTTTGGGGACATTTTCAAACGAAAAGATTTTTGAAATTGCGACATAGTAGAAGCCTTTGTCTCAAGCCAACAACTCATATCGATCAGTAAAAAGTTGATTTTTTCTTGATCTTCAGTAATTTATTCTCGAAATGCTCTTATTCTATTAATAATTTGCAGGTACTTTATTAAAGTGCTATGTTATATTAGATTTAAAATTCTGATACTCGGGTAATGCCTGTATTGGCTTCACAAATGTCCCAATTTTTCAAAATTATTTCCATAACATTCTCCATTGCAGCTAATGTTCACAGCATAAAAGCTGAGGTACAAAGTTTGCCAATACTAAATTAAAAAAACTACGTCGTCTCCTTTAAAAATAAAAATTAATAAAACAGCCCGTGTTTAATTATTTGAAAATAATTTTACACGACACAGCATTAACTTAAGAAAATCGATCAATATTGTTGGCTGGTGCTCAGATAATAAAAAAAGGAAATTGTTATAAATCCGCAAGTTGTGGAGTTATTTAATTTTTTCAGCCATAAGAAGAAAATTTAATTACAGTGAAAATAATGATCAACACGGTGACGACATTCATTCTCTTAAATTACTCTCAAATCTGATGAATCTGAACTAGATAGCTGTTTGAGAAACAGCTACAGTTTTCATTTCTTATCTTCCACAGTGAAAAATCGCCAACATTTTTGTATGAATAATGGAAGTTAATGCCGGTTTTTACTAACTGCATTAAACCAGTGAGCTTGACTATGTAATAATCAGGTTAATTGGTATTATCATGGATATGTGGGACACATTATCGCGCTGTGCGTCATCGTATGCCTGCGTGTCTGCTCGCGAGGATTGGGAGGTGCGGCTATACCTTAGCTGGTTCTGGGAGTCTAGCCAGATGTTGGAGAATCTGCCATAGAGATTTCTGAGTCGGTCAGGCTTTACTAAGGTAGCAATCCGCTACAGATATATCTATGTTGAACATGTATGTGTACAAACTCAAATTGTTTAAGCTTTTAATAGTACCAGATTTATTTCGAGTAGGATATGAATTTTAGACAACTAGAAAAAGACGCCTCCACTCAACCATTTCCCTTCTAGTGTAACTAATAGTTTTATTTCATTAAGTGTTCAATTGGTTTTCTTCAGATTGAAAAATATTTTTTTATTCTAGACCATGCAATAATAGATTATTTATGCGCCAAATAATAGAATGACATTGTAAAACCTTCAGATACGAAATATCCATCACATAATTTCGTATTCGAGAATATGATAAAAGAGTTGTAATAAGAATGTCTTTGATAAAAGTTAGAAAAATATGATTTTAATTTGAAATCAGTGTTATAATAATTTGTCTGACTATCTTTGACAATTAATTAAAGCAATTAATTTTTTGAATTTTTCTCTTTATAAAATTAAGCCTGGTTCTATTGAAGTTTTATTTGACAACCGATACATATAAAAGTAAAAATTAAGAATTTTGGTAAACAAAAGTAGTAATAGAAAATGATTAGAGAAGCAAGTGGAATTAGATCAGGTAAGAAAAAGAATTGAGTAAAGCAAAGTAAAATGTTTTGTTTAAAAGTGCCAAAAGTAATGGAACATGATCTTTTTCATCCGATAGTGTTTGAGGTATTTTTTTACTAGACTTGGGATTTCATGATATGACAAAAC